CCCCCCTGGAACACACCACAAGCCTGTGGGGCCCGGCGGCATCCCCCACCCCAACTTCCCCGCGGCGCTGTGCTGCGTCCTCACCATGGCAAACGCAGTGCTGGTGGATGTTCTTCACCTGGCCCAGCAGATGATCCAGAGCTTCAGGTTGTCCCCTTCGCCGCGGCGCCCGGCCGTCATACTCCCGCCAGTCTGCGAGGAGCAGCATCATTCCCAGCACCCCTTGGCCTGAGGGAAAAGGGGGTTCCCACCTTCTCCTCCCCATGGCACATCGCCTCCTGGCACCCCCACCCTGGCACCTCCGGGCGGGCTGGGCTTTGGGAGATCCCCAGTTTTGTGCCACTCTTCCCAGGAGCACCCCAGCTCAGCACGGCACCCCAGGGACATAGCAGAGGGAAAGAACAAGGTCCCGACTGTTGCTGCTACACTTTGCCAGCCTTCAAAAATAAAATTCTTTCCAGTGTCTTCCTCCAGGTCTTCCCTGGAGCTGCAGCTTTCTCCAGGGCAGTGCTGAGAGCTGGGCTCGCCTCGGCAAACACATAAATAAGCTTTCCTGCCAGCAAGGCAGCAGCAGGACCAGGAGCGGGCCGTGGAACTGCCGGTTCTTCTACATTAGCTTTACATTAATTGCTTTAAACACCCCCTGTGTCCTGCCTGCTGCTGTTTTCCATGGAAAGTTCAGCTCTGTTAACTTTGGCTGGGGCTCGCCACTATTTTTAGGAGCTTTAAAAACACCCAGGGAGGTGCCTGACTATATTCTGCTGGGCCAGGGAGGGATCTTTACTGAAGGGAGAAACATTAATGGAGATAAAAATAAATAAAAGCCACTCATGCCTGATTCACTTCGGCCACGCTCTGGATCGATGCTGTGTGGATCTCGGTCATGGGGAATGTGACCCATGCAGGATGGCAAAGGGGATTTCAAGCCGGTGCAAACACGCCAACACGCTGCCAGGATGGGGCAAAGCCGGGACAACGTGGTGCGCGCCTATGCTCGCTATACGCCTTCATATACATGCAAATGTGCTTTTGCATCTTCCCATACCGCTGCCCTACGTGCACCTGCAGCTAGATCTACGCACGATGCCAACACACCCCTGCCTCCCTTCCACAGGCTCCCCA